CTCCTGATGTGTACGGTGCTGGGACAGGGTCTGCAACCCCTCGGCAACACAGCCCCTCCGTGGCTCTGTGAGCAACAGACTGCCACTATTCCATGTTAATGTTCAAAGGGCTGTGCAGGGCCAGAGCTGTCACAGTATTGCGTGAGATGGGTGGATATGGGCTGATGCCCACGATGCCAGGCTTCTGGGCACACCTCCCAGAACAAGTGGAGCTAGAGAAGGACAGAGACCACTCACACCCCAGGAACCCCTACATGGGGAGCCACCCATGGCCCTCTAGGGAGACTGTATTCTTTGGAATAGTTTCTCATAGGGGCTGTTTCAACCTCTTTTAGACATTAGTTTCCTTTAAAAAAAATAAAACCCCACTTTTGAATGGGAGACTTTAAATACACAGGAAGGTAGAGAATGGAATAATGAGCCCGTGGGGCCCCTCACCAGGGGAATGAACCCTCCCAGGCTGTGGCCATCTGGAACCACCCTCCTGCCCCAGGGAGCCCCCCCAACACGTCCCAGACTCCAGAGAGTCCTCTAGCCTGTATATGAATCTGTGGACCGGTGACAGTGCATAGGTGATGGAATTACCGAGAGAAAGGATCGCCCTTGACTAGTTTCTGTTGCCACAGAATCTGAACCAGGGTTCAGTGAGGAAAGCCCTTTAGTTCTCTGGCCCAGGCACACTTGGGGAACGAAAGAGCCCTCTGTTTTTTGGAAATGCTGCCGTTTGTTCTTTAATTCATAGCATGTTAGGTGCCCGCCATGTGCCCAGCACTGTGCAGGGGCGGGCTGGGGCGCAGCACTGTGCTGACTCTGCGGGGTGGGGGCGCTGATTTACAGTCGTGAGCAGGCTCCCCAGCAGCTAGTGTGCGCACTGATTTACGGTTGTGAACAGACCCCCCCAGAAGCTGGTGCGCGTACCTGTGTTTTCCTGACTTCTTCAAGAGAGGGGTTTGCTTTGGTTTGGGCTCAAAGCTGGAACCGGTGGGAGCCTTCACTTTCATCCCCAATCTTTCCGTATGTCACCTCCTCCTCTGAAGCCCTCAGCACTTCCTACTTCTGTGTCCTTGTGTCTGTCCAGCTAGGACTGTATCAAATATGTCCTTATCCCCTCTCAACTCCAGGACCCTGAGCTCTGCAAGCAGAGGGATTAGGTCTAATTCAGGGTGACAAGTAGTGGCCGCTCTCCTCCCTCCTTGCATGTGTTTAAATATTTCCATGTAATTACATATTTAAATCAGACTGTATCACACAAATTCTTCCCTGGCCTGCTGTTTTCTCGTCCTGTCATAGACTTTTTCTGTCCAGACCTGTCTAGGGGTCTTTCCAACGTAGTATAAATATAGATGTTTTAAACAGCCATGTAACTTGCCACCACATAGGTGTCCCGCCCTTGATCTAACCTGTCCTCTACCGGCGGGCATTCTCCATGGGGTCCAGTGTCACTGTCGTGAACACACTGAAACGGGCATCTCTGAGCGCACACGTGTCCCTCTGTGGTGTTGTCCCTGTAGTGTGCGTTCAGAGGCAGAATCGCTGGGTCAAAGGCACTTATGTTGATGCAAATTGGGGAATTCACTCTGGAAATCTTAGTCAACTAACAGACACCCCCTGCCCTCACCCCCTAAAAATCTCTTCTGGGTTTCTATCTGATCTCCCATTTTCCCTTTGAGTCAAGATTTCTCCCTGGGTGAGAAACTGTTCTGTATCGGTTTGTAAGCGGCCGAGGTGAGGGACTCAGGGTCTCTGGGGCTACTGGGCAGGGAGGCAGCAAAGCAGTCAGGGGCGTCTGGGCAGAGATCACCATCCTGTCCCAGCTCTACACCCACTGGCTGGGTGGCCTTGGACGGGTCACTTACGGCACAGCCTCTCTGGGCTCAGTTTCCCAACTTTGAAATGAGGGAGGTCAAGATGGTGACCTTCCAGGCCCCCTGAGGAAGCTTCAGTGAGCAGGTCAGACCTCCCTGGGGTGCTGCTTGTTCCCCGATTATTGAGGATGACAATCGGAACCTATTTGGCCCTATGCAGTCCTTGCCCCCAAGCAGCTGAGCCCTGACGGCCTGGGGTCCCCAAGCAGCTGAGCCCTGACGGCCTGGGGTGTCAGCTAGGTCCACTGTTGAGATCTCAGCCGTCCTACACTCGGTGGAACCGACAGCTGCCCATCATCTCGTTTATCTTCTCTGTAGTGTGGATGACTCTCTGAAGTGTGTCTTCTCATGTCCTGGCTGTCTCCTCACTAGAACATACATTCCCAGAGCACAGGACCCTAGTTGTCCTGCCTGCCACAAATCCCAGTGTCCAGCACCATGCCGGGTACCGCCGAGATGGCCACTGACTTCCCCGTCGCTGGGAAAAGCTTGTTTCTGTGTTAGCTTCCTATGTCGGTGCAAGTGTCTGTGCATAGCCAGGGTAGACTCAGACTGGCAAGCTCGCCACATTCCTACCCCACATTGGTTTTGTTCTGTATTTATTCATCCTTATAGAAAACATAAGGTTTCTGCACCAGAGAATAGACCAGTTACTTAGCCGCACAGTAACCTCAGAGCTGGCTCCCCTGCCCTGTCCTCACAGGCAACGTGGAAAGTCTGATGCTCCTGAGGGCTCCAGGGCCTGCAGCACAGAAGGGAGCCCCAGCATCCTGAGGCTGGGCATGGGGGGCAGGGTGCCAGCTCGCACCTCACGTGAATTTACTGGAGTAGAAATGTCTCTTTTGGGGATGTGGGAGGTGGTCTCTAGGTTGATAGCCCTGGAGTGTAAACACAGGCCTCAGGCAGAGGCCCCTCAATCTCTCTGGCAGTCTTAAATTCCCAGGCCTGGTCTGTGATCAGTTTTCCTTCATCCCAAGTGCCAGCGGACTGTTCTCAGGTGCCCTGACCATCAGGAAACATGGAAATATTCGTGCAGCATCCTTTCCTGACACCTGGGTTAAAAAATAACAGCTACCATCTTTGAGTGTGTGCTACGGGTCAGAATTTTATGCTTGGTGTTAAGCCATCAAGATGCGTCCTGTTGTCCTCTGGCAGTTAGGAGGCTGAGACTCAGAGAGGTTGAAAGGCTGCGTGGAAGTGAGCAGTGCAGAAGGCCAGGGTGCAGAGGAGGCCTGAGTGGGTGAGCTTTGCTCCCCACCACCTGGCTTCCCCAGAGTCTGGTCAAGAAGGTATTTATTCCACATCTGTGATGTTCCAGGCACTGCGTCAAGCAGGGGAAGTAAGCAATGTGGTCCTTGGTGCTCAAGGGACCCACCATCTTCAGGGAGAGGCAGATGCTAAACAGAGAATTACACTGTGATGACAGGGGGCAGGTGAAGGAGGGTGGAGTCAGGTGCCTCCCAGGCCGGGGGCTGTCCTCGGAGACCCTCTGAGGCGGGGAATGTTCCTCTGTGGCCCTGGGCAAGGTGTGGGAGAAGAATGTTCTGGATGGAGACAGTGGCACGGGAAAGGGAAGACAAGACCAGGGAGAGTCAGCAGGAGGACGGTGGCTTCCAGACCAGCAAGGGCTCGGCGGCCCGGAAAGGAGAGCACTCATTCCTCAGCACTGCAGGGGTCTCTCCTTCATACCGGACAGCCAGTGTTAAAGCACATTCTCTTTTCTGTTCTATCCTAGAAAATGGGGAAGGAAGGTCAAAGGGTATGAGAAAGAAATTTAGGGAAATGCAAATTACTTAGAATGAGGTTTATGGTTCTTTGGTGGTGACAAGGGCAGTAACCCAGCAAGTCATGGCCACAGAGAAAAGTGGTTGGTAGTGATTTTAATGCATCTCTCCAGCTGTCAGCCTGGGGTCTTTTGAGAGGTTCCAAACACATGCAGTAGAGCCAGAAGTGGTTGGTAGGAGGGGAGCTGAGCGGCTTTGAGAGAAACTGCCAGATTCGCTGCCACTGTACCTCCAGGAACCAGCTCCACATGGGCCACAGTCATAGCAAACAATGTTAATATTTACCAAGTATCTCTGGAAAAATGAGTGCAAAGTGCAGGCAATGCACTGCAAATCGTTAGAACGCGGTACATTAGCAAAATAGGACCGTTTAATGAGTCTGGGAAGAGAGGTATGAATTTCAGGGAAATGTCAATTGCGGCAATGTAAACAAGAGACTTCTCTGTCTCTCTCTCCATCAGACTGTATTTCAGTCTCCAGTTCTAACTAGAGCTGTGATCCTTAGGAGAGATTCAGTTCTGAACATCAGGGAAAGGAGAACCAGGGGAAGGAGTGGAGCTGGGATCACCTGTGGGTGACAGATCAGTATCCAGGGCTGCCATCAAGATCCCATTTGAGGAAAACTAAAACTTACCTGGGGCTGACGTGCTTCTGCGAAAAGCGTGTGCTGCAAAAACTGGGTCCTTGCAGGGGTGCTGTGGTCTGAATGGCCCCCCAAAATATGGACATGGAAACCTAACCCCCAACTGAATGGCATGAGGTGGGGCCTTTGGGAAGGGATTAGGTCCTGAGGGTGGAGCCCTCATGGATGGAGTTGGTGCCTTACGAAAGAGACCCCGAGAGACACGGCATGCCTTCCACCCCACAAGGACACAGCAAGAAGGCCTGTCTACTAACCAGAGTGTGGGCCCTTATCAGACAGTCTGTCTTGGCCTTAGACTTCCCAGCCTCTGGAACTATGAAAAACAAATGTCTGTTGTTTCTAAGCCGCCCAGTGTATGGCCTTGTGCTACAGCAGGCCCAGCAGAGTAAGACAGGGAGAAAAGCTGCCCAGAATCACTGAGGGGTTTAGAACTACCATGGCTGCAGGTGGGGATGGTCCCTTGTCAAGATCAGAAAAAGATCAAGGCCACCCAATGCATTTCTCACCTCAGGCAGCCACTGTGCTCTCTTGAGGGGACTGCAGAGGGACCTAGGAAACAGTCACCCGCAGCCTTGTCCGGTGGCTCCATGGGCCCCCCCGAGGCTGCCTCTTTACCAGCTCAATCTGGTGAAGCCAAGCAGGGTCAGGAAGCCCGTGGGTCACAGCATGCACACTGACATCCTGCTCACTCACCTTCTTTCTCTGCAGTCCCTGACAACCTCGTCACGAAGGTGCTGAGCCAGCGCCTGGACCAGCAGGACTGCATTCAGAGAGGGTGGGTGCTGCACGGCTTCCCGCGAGACCTGGACCAGGCGCACCTGATGAACACCCTGGGCTACTCTCCCAACAGGTGAGCTGTTGGCCTGGCTGCACCTGGCCACATCTCTGGACACCTTCTCTCCAGGGCTCAACTGATGGGTCACTGGATGTGAGCCCTTGTGTGTTCCTGAAGTGGACTATCTCAGTCACACCATTCCCACCCCTCACCCCCACCCAGGACCCATTCACCTGCAGACTAGGAGTCAACCTCAGGTTCACGCCCTGGCTCTCACGCCCCTCACTGGACCTGAACTTCCTCATCTGTCAAATGTAGTAAATACCTGGCAGTCTTGCCTTCCTTGTGGGGTTCCTTACAAACCAGTGGATGTTTTCTTCTTCTATTCTTACAGTTTCATTTTTACATTTGAATCATGGATTCTGATGCAGCATGAGTCCCTTTTTTCCCCTCAGTGGCTAACCACTTTTTCCAAAACAGGGTTGAGTATTGTGGAATATTCTGTCCTCCCTCCACTCGTTTGAAGTTGAGAGTTCACAATTGCAGATACTGTGGAAAGCAACCAAGACCAGCCAAGTGAAAGCAGGCAGAGGCTATTCAGTCAACTTGCAATAGCAAGGGGGTTGGCTACCATTGCTTGGTGTTTGGGTGGAGACAAAAAGTCAGGCAGAGGGGTGGGAAAGCTCTCTAGTGGGGGGCGGGGGGGAGGCCTAAGTCCAGCCGTGCTCTGATTGGAGGCTGCTGGCCTGAGGAAGCTTGGAGAGCTACCTAGGAGCAGAGCACCCTGTGTGATTGGTTAAGGGAGCATGTTTGGCCTTCTCTGGTTGGTCCTCCACTGGAAACAGTGGGAAAAAGGAGGGACGCTGTCAGTCACTGCCCGAGCCTGGCCGTGTGGGGCTGAGGGCTGCAGAGGCTGTAGTCTGGCTCCCTGGGCAGGTTGTTGCAGGTTGTGGGTTCGAGTTCTGTGTTTATAAATGGCCTGGGCCATTGTCTATGTGTATGTCCAGTCTCCCGATATACTTGGACTGTTTTTGACATTGCTGTTGTTTTCTGAGTGTGTATTTCTCCACATTGTTAGCTACTTTAGTTTTTTACATACTGTATTTCAGTAGTTAGTGCAGGAAACTCTTCTTTATTGTCTATTTTGTATGTTATTTTTCCAGAGGAATATGATAATAATTTTATCATGTACAAGGGAAAACTGACATTGAACTTTTAAGTGGAATTGCCTTAGATTTTTGAATCGATCTATTACAATTTGATGTGGAGATACCTTGCTTTGCCCCTCAGCGAAACTGTCAATACTTGCTTTAGGCTCATGCTTTTGGGGAATATTTCTAGATATTTTACATATATATATATATATATATAAAATTTTTTTTTTCTGGAAACAGTGTCTCACTTTGTCACCCTTGGTAAAGTGCCATGGTGTCATAGCTCACAGCAACCTCAAACTCCTGGGCTCAAATGATCCTCCTGCCTCAGCCTCTTGAGTAGCTGGGACTACAGGTGCCTGCCCCAAAGCCTGGCTAGTTTTAGAGACAAGGTTTCACACTTGCCCCTCAAATTCCTGAGCTCAAGCAATCCACCCACCTTGGCCTCCCTGAGTGCAAGGATTACAGGTGTGAGCCACTTAGATATTATATTTATCTGTTGATATTATGGTATTTCATCCCAAATTTTTGAAATGGATTTTTGGGAGTATAGGACAGACATTGATTTTAGCTCATTTGTTTCATACTCCAACCCCCTTCTAGAATTCTCTTACTATTTCTGATATTTTTTCAGTTAGTTTTCTTGAGTTTTCCAGGTGGACAATTATGTCATCTGCAAACCTTCACCTTTTGCCTCTTCCTTTTCAATGTTTATACTTTTCATTTTACTCTTGTTGGGTGGTACTTACAGAACGGGGTCACTATTGGCAAGCTGACTTTTTTCTTGACCTAAAGATCTGTCCTGGTGTGCTGCCATTAAGACGTGACTGGCTGTTAGTTTGAGGTCTATACACATACAATTTTTATAAGGTATAGCTCCCTGTATTTAAAATGTCTGGAGTTGGCTGGATACAGTGGCTCATGCCTGTAATCTTATGCCTCTGGGAGTCGGAGACAGGTGGATCGCTTGAGCTCAGGAGTTCAAGACCAGCCTGACCAAGAGCAAGACCCTGTCTCTACTAAAAATAGAAAAAACTAGATGGACATTTTGGCGGGCACCTGTAGTCTCAGCTAGTCAGGAGGCTGAGGCAAGAGGATCACCTGAGCCCAAGAGTTTGAGGTTGCTGGGAGGTAAGGCACCATGCACTTTACCCAGGGTGACAGAACGAGACTGTCTCAAAAATAAATAAATAAATAAATAAAATGTCTGGAGTTGATGTTGAATTTTGTAAAGATTTTCTTAATATCTTTTACAACAATTTAGTATATTTTCCCTTTCGACATATTGACTTAATGAATTATGTGATAACTTGTGAGTTTTTCCCACTTCTTCTGTATCTGGGTTATTTTCTCTTTATTATGGCTTATTTTATGTATTTGTGTTTTTAACCTTTTTGAGGACCAGTTTAACTAGTAGCCTGACTTAACTTTTTTTCACTAAAGAAAGCTTGGATTTATTCATCAATTCTACATTTTTTCCTGTATTCTATATGTATAAAATTTTGTTTCTCTGATTAATAACTTCTCCTTATGTTGGGTTTCTTTTGTTGTTTTTCTCAAAGGATAAGCAGGATGCATATTTACTCATTTTCTGTATTCTTCGTTTGGTACTAAAGTGGTAAAGGCCTTGAATGATCCTTTCTCTATGACTTCAGCAGTGTCTCATAGTATTTTATTTCTTTTTGCAGTTTTTGGCTGGGGCTGGGTTTGAATCCACCACCTCTGGCATATGGGGCCGGCGCCCTACTCCTTTGAGCCACAGGCGGTGCCCTTTTTATTTCTTTTTTAACGGTATTTTGAGAGTGTGATTTAATTTTTTCTTCCACTTGAGTGTTTTAGGAGAGTTTAAAAGTTTCTAGGTAGTTGACATTTTGTTATTATTTCAACTTTCATTATTAGTTTTTCATTTTAATACAGAGATTGGAGAATTTTAAGTACAATCTCTAAAATTTTGGAAATTATTTATTCTGTAGATAATAATTCAACAGATTTTTAAAAATATTGTGTATTTTAAGTTTCAATTTATAGAAGTCAATGTATATGTTAAGCCAAACTTACTAATTTTATTATTTAGATCATGTATATCCTTGCCTTTTTTGGTTGTTATTTCTTGATGGTGGTGGCCTGTCAATCTGTCAGGGATGAAAAGATTTGTTAATTTCCCACTAATATGAAATTTCTATTAATTTTTATTGTGTTTCCTATGTTTTTTGCTTTGTTTTGGTGCCATGTTGTTTAGTGCATAAAGGTTTGTGTTAGCTATGTGCTCACTGTGAAATGTATCTGTGATGAATGTGACCATCAGTGGCAGACAGCTACTTATCAAGTCCAATATTCATTCTGTCTTTCCTCTTCAGTAACAAAACATCAATTTTCAGAGGAGGTATCTGAGAAGAAAATATCCCATTTTTCAGTCTTTTCGTTCTAGTTATATGGGGCCACAACACTAAGTTCTGACCAAGGAGAAGTGTAAGCACACAGCTGTATAGGTCTTCCAGGAACTAACTCAGCTAGAAGAAGCTAGGTTTTTGTATATTTTGTCTTTATTTTCTTACTTTCTATTTTCCCTTAAGTTAATAATCACCTTTCTTTTTCAAAGTTTTCTTTGTACCTGTTTGTTAATCATTTCCACACCTTACAATATCCTCTCAGAATAATTCCCCACATTTTCAGTCATACTATAGGTTTCAGGTTTTTCTTGGTCTCTCTCATTCCTCTCCTGGACTGGTTTTTCTTTAAGCTGACTAAGTGGCTGACATCCTAGGACTACTCTTTACTATAATCAGAAGAATTCTCTTTGCCTTTCTTCTGAGTTGGAATTCCTGTTTTCTGAATCACACATCTTCTTCTTTTAGACTCCCTTGGTTTGATATAATGGAACCTCCAGTTGCTTCTGAAATTAGGAACATAGTTTGATAGCAGTGGGCTCTTACACCTGCAATACATTAGCTCTAGATCAAAGGGGTCATCTTCTATGACTGGCACACAAATGTCACCCTGGGTTTCCTGCTCACCACCACACTGAGGAGTCCCCTCAGCTCACGTGTTAATATTTTATCTCTGTATTATGTGGCTTCCTTTCTGTGTTTACTGCCTTGTTTTGGTTGAGCACATCCATCAGTAGCTTCCTGAGAAAGGTGGTGTGGGAGGTAGATTTTCGGAGACCTTGCATATCTGAAGGTGTTTTTAGTCTATCTTCATATTTGTTGGACAGTTTGGTTGGATTAGAAACTATTGGCTGAAAATCATTTTCCCGGCTCGGCGCCTGTGGCTCAACCGGCTAAGGCGCCAGCCACGTATGCCTAGGGTCGCGGGTTTGAATCCCCAGCCCGGACCCGCCAAAACAACAATGACGGCTGCAACCAAGAAATGGCCGGGCGTTGTGGCGGGCGCCTGTGGTCCCAGCTACTTGGGAGGCGGAGGCAGGAGACTCGCTTGAGCCCAGGAGTTGGAGGTTGCTGTGAGCTGTGATGCCACGGCACTCTACCCAGGGGGACAGCTTGAGGCTCTGTCTCAAAAACAAAAAAAAAAAAAAGAAAAGAAAATCATTTTCCCCTAGAATTTTAGTCTCCCGTCTTGCTCTTAAGAAGTCCAGTGCTGGTTCATGTGTCCCTCAGCTGGGAAGGATGCGTTGAGGTTGGCAATACCCATCAAGGACAGTAACTACCATGGCTTCCAGGGCTTTGGCCAAATCTCAGGTGTGTGGCCTCTTGGCCAAGTGCCTGTAGATTCATATTGTTGGCACATTTGTTGTGTCCCTGGGGGTTGCAGTTTTCTATAAGTTTGCTGTGGCTGAAGCAAGAAAGAAGGCATATGCAGATTTCTACAGAAATTGTGAGTCTATGAAAGATTTTGAGGAGATGAGGAAGGCTGGTGTCTTTCAGAGCATAAAGTAATTTTGAAACATAAAGAATTTCTTTG